GGGATTACAAGCAGATGCTACCATGCCTGGGTCCAATCTTTTTAGTAGTCACTGGTGGTATAGCAGTAAACAAAATTCCCTGCATTTTAATAAGGAATGCAGAAAGATCAAAATTTGCTTAGGAGATAAGGCAGGGAAAGGTTGAATGAAGACTGCTGCTGCAGGATGTTTCATGTTGCATTAGGTGGGAAGTCAAGAGATGGTAATTGCAACTAGTTCTGAATTTCTCTTTTTTCCTTGACCCGTATGTACTTTTGAAGGAAGGAGAAGTATATGCCATTGAGACCTTTGGTAGTACGGGAAAAGGTGTTGTGCATGACGATATGGAGTGTTCACATTACATGAAAAATTTTGATGTTGGACATGTGCCAATAAGGTGAGAGACATTGATTTATAATTAATATATCTCTTCTCAATTAACAGTATTTCTAAAAATAATGACAAACATAAGGGTATACATTTGTAAATGTACACTTATGTGAGTTGAGTTTCTACAATATAGTATTAGAAAGATTAGCCTGTTAAAAATTTTTACCTGAGATGAAAGTTATATGGGCAAGTGTCTGATAATTAGTATTTTCCCATTGTTAAAGTTATTTCAATTTACATTGCCTTTTTTTTAAACCTTTTTATATAAGATGATTAAAGGTTGGATTTCCACCTCCTTTTATGTGTGGTTTTTGAGCTTGGTGCACAAAAGGGAACTTCCATGACTCTGTAGAGTAGTACACTAGGAGTTTCACACACATGTCCATACACACCATGTAGCTGGTTTCCTAATCAGCTGCTATATATAATTAGGGATGGGCTATTACACATTCCAGCTTTTGATTGTTGAAAGAGTAACAACGAAAGTTTCTGAAGACTCAGCTAAGGTTTGGGTTTTTCCTAATGGGGAAAATGAGTTGGTAATTCTTGCCAACCATTAACATTGGACTTTCTTTTCTTAGGCTTCCAAGAACAAAACACTTACTGAATGTCATCAATGAAAACTTCGGCACCCTTGCCTTCTGCCGGAGATGGCTGGATCGTTTGGGAGAAAGCAAATATTTGATGGCTCTGAAGAATCTGTGTGACTTGGGCATTGTAGATCCATATCCACCATTATGTGACATTAAAGGATCATACACAGCACAGTTTGAGCATACCATACTGTTGCGTCCGACTTGTAAAGAAGTTGTCAGCAGAGGAGATGACTATTAAACTTAGTCCAAAGCCACCTCAACATCTTTTATTTTCTAAGCTTTGTTGGAATACATTATACCAGAATTAATTTGCAACATGTTGTCTGTTTTAACAGTGGACCTGTGTAATACTTTTATCCATGTTTAAAGGAATTTGATCAAAGGCAAACTGTCTAATGTAATTAACAAAGGAAAAAGCTTTCAGGACTTTACAATGTTAACTGTTTCCCCCACCCCCCGTCTAGGAAATGCTATAAAGCTCAAATTAGTTAGGACTGACTTATACATTTTGTTTTGAACACCTAAGAGATGCTTTTTGGATATTTATATTGCCATATTCTTACTTGAATGCTTTGAATGACTACATCCAATTCTGCACCTTTGCCCTCTGGTATTGCTTTTTAACCTTCCTGGAATCCATTTTCTAAAAAATAAAGACATTTTCAGATCTGAGAGCTACATTTCAATGTCTGTGGTTATAATTTGAACAGGAAGTAGCTAAAACTTTCAAGGCATTTTATCTGGACTGTAGATACTATACCGAGAGGTTCTGACATAATGGCTAAAATAAGATCTTCATGTACATTAAATGGAACAATAATCTTTTCATTCACCGGTATACAGTTTTATAAGATTTTACCTCTTATTGAACCAGATTAGTACCTCTCATTTTTTTCTGATGTTGGAAAAATGTACTAATTGAAACATAACTAAGTAGGAACATTTCGCCAACTTGAGAATCATTGATTTAGTGAAAAAACCTACAAACATTTCATTCCTTTGTTTAGTGGTAGTTATCAGGAGGTGTTTTCAGCTTATATGATAAGGGTATTAAAGCTACAAAAGCAAAGGAAGAACTCCCATGTTCAGATCTTGTTCTAGTTAGAAAGGTGAAACTGAAATTAGGGTTTTTCATTAGTGAGTCAAATGCTGTTAACACTCTGTTCCTTAGCTGATTTGGATTCTTAGTATCGAGATTGGCCATTTCAGGAAATGAGGTTACCAGTACCCTTCTTACAGCAGCTAAATGCGTTAAGTTGAATGTAAGGATGCATAACATTTACTTGTTTGAACTGGACCCCACTACTGATTCCTTAATTGCTTGAATTCTTATATGTGATTTGTTCCAGCATAATTTCAATATTGTTATGTGCCAAGGTAAAGCCTTAATTTGTATATGCTTTTTAGCACAATGAGATTTTATTGCCTCTGGGATGCTTGTTTAGTTTGTATTTTGTTTACCTTTTTCTCTTAAGGAGAAAGCTATGACTTATGTACTTAAGATTGTTACATTGAAAAGCTGCTTTCAGCATTAGAGCTATAAATGAATGTTATCTTTTGAGAAAAACAATCTAGTTTTTAGCTGTAAAAGCTATGTTTATTATGGTGCTAATGTAATAGCTACCTTTGAATAATTTCTTCATTTTCTGTGATGCTGTTCAAGCAGCAGAGCTCACCAGTTTTGTGTGGACACATTGTAGGGCTTGGGCCCTCCAGCTAGCTCCTTTGGGGTTTTGTTTATATGCTTTGGTGGGAAATACAAAACAAGTATTTTGATTTCTAAACCCAGGATTTTAAAAACTGATCCAAGGAAGAATTTCGGAGCTGAAAGACCTTTTTAGCAGTAGTGATCTATAACTATATATGCTCCATGCTCCTTTCCCAGCTAACTAGTGGGAGCTGCCCCTGGAATGGATGCGATCTTGTAAATAGGAAAGCTGTCACTTAAAAAAAATTGTATATGTTTGCCTACTAGCCATGTATCTCTTGAAATCATTTTGTTATGTGTACAATGATGTACCTTATTGGTAAAATTAGTTTGATGTTTAACAATAGTGCCTTTAGTAAATTATTTTACAACCAAATATGTTGTTTTTTGTTAGACCAATTTAGGAGAATGTAGAAACCCATGTTGATATTTGAGATATTTAGTGAGAAATCTAAAATTTGTTCATTTAAAAATAGATTTTAGTTTCTTGTTTTGCTAATATTATAATTTTTAGAGCAGTTTTAGATTCACAGCAAAATCTAATGGAAAATACTGCAGATTTCCCATATACCCTCTGTGGTCACACAGGTGTTAAATTTTAAGACTGCTTTGTGTGTGTGTGTGTGTGTGTGGAGTACTGGGCATTGAATCCTGAGCCTCTCAATGCTAGGCAAGTGTTCTAGTGCTGAACTACAGCCCTTTTTTGAGAGATCTCGGATTGCTCAGGCTGGCCTGGAATTTGTGATCCTCCTGCATCGTCATCCTGACTAGAGATTTCCAGGCATGTACCACCACAACCAACTCTCTCCCATGTATTTTTACACTGAAATAAAAGCAACTATACCTTTTTTTGGCAGGTGGGTAATTAGGGATTGAATTCAGGGGCATTCAACCATTGAGCCACATCCCCAGCCCTGTTTTGTATTTTATTTAGAGACAGGGTCTCACTGAGTTGTTTATTGCCTCCCCTTTGCTGAGGTTGGCTTTGAGCTCAGGATCCTCCTGTCTCAGCCTCCTGAGATGCTGGGATTACAGGCGTGCGTTATAAACGACATAACCTTATTTATCCTAAGAGCCCATTAAAATTAGGTGCAAATTTAAAACAGTACTTGAAATTAATGGATAAACTCAGATATCTTGACCACATAAATCTTTAATGAGGTATAAGAATATATAACAATAGAGGTAACAACTTGCATAGGTGTTCAGAAAATGAACAGTTTTAAACCTAGTCATTTATGTTCCAGCTGTATTTTTGGCACAAATAATTTGTTCAGTGATAAATTCTCATAGCACTTTGTTATCAACTTCTCCAGATGACATGTGAAACTTAAATGTGCTAATGGAGGTCTCTTACAAGTTTATACTTACATACAAGCACTAGTGGCCAAGAGCATTCTACAGGATGATATTTTTCATTAGATTTCAAGCTGCAAATAAACCCACTTAAAGGGACAAATCATCTTCTAGCAATTAACACTGTGCTTAAGATCTTACAGAACTGATGTGCAGAGTTTAGTGAAGTTCCCTTCTGAGTAAGGGAGCAGCAGTAGGACTTAAAAAGACATCTAGTGAGATTATTAGAGAAGAGTAAAGTGAGTGTCTCACAGTTTTTAGTAAAATTCAAGTTCAGGTAATTTTTTTTTTTTTTTTTAAGATTGGGGCCCCCTGTGTAAGTGGTTTCCAGTAGTCATATAATCCTAGCAAGAGTAAAAAATCCAGGCTTCAGTTTTTTAGAAAAATGAGACACTAGGTATATAAACCAGTTGCCAATTTTGAATTTTCCTTCTCTACCTATGCAGTTTTTTGAGACTTCTTATTCCTTTGAACTAAACATCTCAAGTATACAAAGCTTTAAGAAATCTAATGTTATCAAATATAAAATAAACACATACCCAGGATAAACTACATTTGTATTACATCATATTGTTTTGCTAAATTCAATTTTTTTAATGACTGCTTTATTAGAATCTGCCTTATTAGAACCTGTTTGCTGCCGACAAATCATAAGTCCCAGCCATCATTTTTTCATGTCCTTAGTTGCAAAGTTCACTTAATACACCATTTGTAAATCTGCCATTTTCATTTAAATGCAGATTGACTCTGCCAAATAAAAAACAATTACTGAAACAAAATTTACAAGATATCTTTTGAGCCCTGTAATGCATGAAGCCTCAGGAACATCAGTGAGTATGACTGCTGAGTATTAAGGTGATATCTGGATATTTCACTTTCATTATATAGTTTAATTCTCTTCAAGGGGCAGATATTCAATACACAAATAGCCTGAAAGAAATAACTTCGTTTGGTTAAGACATTGTGAAGAAAGTGTCTAATTTTCCATCTATTTTGAATTTGTATAGAAAATAGTTACAAAAGGTAAGTAACAAATGTATATAAAATGCCTCCCAAATTTTTTTAGTAGATTGCACAAATTCATGATATGAGCCAATTAAGACATCAAAATAAGAGGTAACACTAGTCTGAGGTAAACACTAAAAGTTTAAAACTCTGAGTACTTGAAAAAAGTTTAGTTCCCTGCAGTTGATACACTGTCTCTGTAAAAAAAATAAAAAGTTGTCATAAATACAAAATGTAAATGTAGTGTGCACTGATTTCAAAATAAAAAAAAAATACAATGAAGCTCAAAATTTTAAGTCAGCCCTTTTAAAAAGTATATATACAAATTGCAAGAAGAAAGCCCTACTATCTTTGGATCAGTTAAGGATTTCATTAGAAGAGGTATCAGCTTCTTCATTGGTATGTTGGCTACTAGACAGGAGCTCTGGAGACAAGAGTTTAGAATGTCCATTCTCAGTAACTCGCTGGGTATAAAACAAGATATAAGCTTGGGCCTTGCATACTTCATCCATAGTGCACATGCTTAGCTTGGAATCATTGCAGTGTACCCAGAACCCTAGAGTGAAGCATAGAAATAGGATGTTTATAAAGGAACCTCAGAAGTTTCTAGTATAAAAAGCTAAATTTTACTGAAAGTTAAGCTTTTTCTGAAAGAAAAATAATTTTCTCAGCAATTAATTTCTCCAATGAGAAATACAGCTCATGTAGTATGTTACAGTATGTAACTAACTCCTGGTAATTCAGTGTTGAATTAATTCCTTTGTGGATTATCTGGGCTTTTTGTAGAGGGGTGTGTATGTGTGTTGGTCACATTATTTATTGTGTGGGTACTGGTGGTGGTGGTTCATTCTTTATTCAGGTACCAAAATGGGAATAGTGAAATGTCTAATCCAATCACTTCTGATAGGATTATACTGTCCCTAGAAGGGTCATGGAGACAACAAATAAAACTACATTATGTATATTAAACTTGTACTCTTTAAGTTTGTTCTGTATATCTGTGATCTGTGTGTTAGATGTTAACAAAATGAACTGAAGTAAAAGGAATAAACATAGGACCCTGCTATTGGAAGCATGTCTTTAAGAAAAGTATACATTCTGACTTTTAATTAGCAAGACCACCTTCAGTATTGTGTCCCCCAAACCCTTAAATCCTCAAAAGTATTTCAGACTTTCAGAAAATATACTATTACTGCAAACCTTACGAAAATACAATTATTTTCTACACAACATCTCCTCACCCCACCCCATCCCCTTTTTTTCCCCCCAGTACTGGGAATTAAACCCAAGGTCTTTTTGGTACTGGGGATTGAACCTAAGGGTGCTCTACCACTGAGCTACGTCCCTAGTGCTTTCTGAGGCTGGCCTTGAACTTGTAATCTTGCTGCTTCAGCCTCCCTAGTCCTGGAATTTCAGGTGTTTGCCAGAGCCCCTGCCCCCCACCCCCTTTAAACTAGCATACTTAAGAAACATTCTTTTTCTTTCTTTTCTCTCTTTTTCTTGGAATTGAACTCAGGGGTACTTAACCATTTAGCCACATCCCCAGCCCTTTTTTGCATTTTATTTAGAGACAGGGTCTCACTGAGTTGCTTAGGGCCTTGCTAAATTGCTGAGGCTCACTTTGAACTAGCAATCCTCCTGCCTCAGCCTTCTAAGCCGCTGGGAACTACTCCCAGCATTTCAGAAACATTCTAAGGAGAAAAGTGGTCAGGTGGCTTTGTTTAAGATTATCTAGTGGCCAACTTACAAATTGCTAAAGCCTGAAATCCAGCATCCAAGTCTCACCCAAGATAAAATAACTTTTCCTATCTATACCTCCTTCAGAGTTATAGCAGTAGGCAGTGTAGTGTCCTGAGCCGAATCCTTTCCCATGGTGCATTACTACAGCAGATAAGTCATAGATAAAGCATTCTGGTCTGAGGGATTTCAGGGTCTCCCTGCAGCAATATGGCTCCATGTTTAAAGTTTCCTCAAAGCCAACATGAACACCAATCTTCTCTCGATTATTACATCCTGACCACCTGAGAACAAAGTAAAATAATCAGCAAAAGGAAGGAAAATTAGCACATGAATTTAAAAAAGAACAACAAAACATGTATATAATTTTCCTTTTAATGATGAGTCGGGTATAAATGGAGATATTTAGGTGTTAAATAAATCTAAAGAGGTCCAATCAGGTTTCAAAAAACATATTTGCCTTGTGAGTTAGACAACATATAGGAAAATTAGCTCTTAGAAAATTATATAGCCCTAAGGGCATTTTTCTCTTCTAACAGATAAAGTCAAGGCTCCAAAGAGTTTTTCAAAATTCCTTATTATCTCTTATTGTCTTACTACAGTATGGAAAGGGTACCCCAGATGAGAGAGATAATACACATTTTTCTTGGCCAGATAAGAAGGAAAGAAAACCAAACAGGGAAAAACTCATTTTCTTGGAACATTTCAGAGCTCTTTAAACTAAAATCAAAGAAAGAAACATTTTGAAACTGACCTTGCCTGTATGTAAGTCAGGATAATATCCATTACTGATAGGATTCTAATAATGTCCCTAAATTGTGATTTTCTCAATCTTCTGGTCATGCCTCCCATTATTGGATCTAAACATGGCAAGCAATGTTTTTCTTATAGGCATACTATGAATTGGAGCTACGGGGTGGGGGGATTATGTTCTTTAAAAAGAACGTAATCCGGTTTGGGAAAGGATGACATTGACAAACGATAAATACATGGAAAGTATTAAAACTTGAAGTTCAGACAAACAATAGAAAAAAGGCAGAGGAATATAGACAGGGTTTAGAAAGAAAAGTAAATGTTGAAATGCTTAGTACTATGTAAAATGGTGTATTTCTGTGATATTGTGAAATATTCTTCCTTTCACTTACTGACATACAGCTTCCTAAGACTTTGGAATCCTTCCAGTGAGTATCTTGAATGCCAACAAGATGACTAGTGGCTAGAAGCTCCTAAGTAGCTTCAGAGACGGGTACTAGTTGTGTCTTTCAGACTATCTCCTGTCTCCAGGAAACTGAACACTGCTAGCTGGTAATTTAATCAACCAAGCCTCCATAAAAGCGCAAAAGGAGTGGGTATGGTGGTGCACACTTGTAATTCCAGTGACTGGGGAGGGCTGAGGCAGGAGGATCATAAGTTCAAGGCCAGCCCCCACAACTTAGCAAGACCCTATGTCAAAAAAAATAGAGCTGGGGATATAGTTCAGTGGCAGAGTGCTTGCCTGTCATGTGCAAAGCTCTGGGTTTGATTCCCAGCACTGCAAAAACAAAAATAATAAAAATGAATAAAAAGAGGACTGTGGATATCGCTCAGTGATAAAGCTCCCCAAGTCAATCCCTAGTACCCAAAACAAAAAACTCAAAAGGGACTACAGCAGCTTCCAAATAGCTAGATGTGGATGTTCCCAGAGGGTGATGTGCCAGGGAAGGTACGGAAGCTCCTTGCTCTGCACATCTCATCCATCTGGATCCTTTAACACAACCTTTGTGGTAAATGGGTAAACTTAAATATTTCCCTGAGTTCTGTGAGCCCCTCTAGCAAATTAATGGACCCTGAACAAGGACTTTTTTAAATTAGCAAATTAATGGATCCTGAACAAGTCTAGAGTTCTGTAAGTCTGGATTTCCGACTAAAAGAAGTAGGGGCCCATCTGTGGGGCTAAACTCTCAACCTGTGGGATCTGATTCTATCTCCAGTTTAGTGTCAAAAGTAACTGAACTAGAGGACACCCAGCTGGGGTCTGTTGTAGAACTTCTTTCTTGATGGGGAGAAATCCCCATGGATTTTGGTAACCAGAAGTCACAGAAATACTGTGTGTGTGAGAGTACAGAAACTGACAGTACATCCTGCCTATGAAATGTATAAATATCCTGCATCCAAGGCACCTAGAACTTTAATAAAAGGGAAGATCAACACATAAAATAATGGGACTTGGTTAATATGAGAAGCTTCTATCATTTATCCTCACTTTATGTATATCTTTAGCTTTACCATAATATTCAAACCTTGTTACTTTTCTGTGTTAATTTAAAACACTAGTAAGACATCTGAATAGAAAATATTTACTCTCCTATTGATAACAGATTGGCTACCCAAATTTTTATGCTGGTAGAAATAAAATGATAAAGAACAAGATAACACTACCCAGAATTCGTAATAGCTTTCTTCTAAGAGGTGAAGGAAATAGGACTGGGAGGTAGACACAAAGTATTTCTAAGATATATGAGAAATATTTCACTTCTTATGCTTCTTCATAGACTTCTGCTGCTTTTCCCAATCCCACTCTTCCCTTTTCCCCAGAGGCAATCACTATTTTGAACATTACTTCTTTTTGTATTTTAAAGATACATTCATCATTAAACAAAATTTTGTAACTGTATATATTTAAGTGTGGCTACATACCTACATACATAAACACACATACATGAGAAAGATCAGGACATGTTGAGAGAGAAGTTTTCCATTTGCATTTAGAGTTGTCAACCACAAGATGATGAAACCAAAGAAGCCAAGCCCACAGCAACCTCCCATCCCAGCTCCTTTGGTAGGGGACTAAACAACATGAACCTGCTGAAAATGTAAAAAGTTTACATCTTACCAGGTTTTTTGACAATCATTAGTAAAACTTGGGTTGCTTTTCAAATATTTTAGAATTGTATTTATTCCTATTGTAACTCATAACTCAAAAGTAAAAGGTATATGAATGTAATAGTAGGTTCAAATTTGCAGAATAGATTTTTTTTTTTTTTGGGTGGGGGGAGGTGGTGGGTACTAGTAGTGAATCCAGAGCCTCCCACATGCTTGTCAAGCACTCTACAGAGCTCAATATTTTAAAGACCGGTGGGCCCATTTTTATATTTTGCATTAGGGATTTAACTCGGGATGCTTTACCACTGAGCTACATTCCCAGTTCTTTTTTACTTTTTGTTTTGAGGCAAGGTCTTGCTAAGTTGTTCAGTGTTGCTAAGTTGCCCAGGCTGGCCTCAAACTTGTGATCCTTCTGCCTCAGCCTTCCCCAGTGGCTGGGATTACAGGTGTGAACCATTGTACCATTTAAACTGCTGTAGAGGAAATTATCTGGAAAATTCAGAAATTAACACTTATTAAATGCTTTGGATGAAGATTTTACTTGGCTGCAAAGATCATTCACAGAATGAAGATGAACTTTTTTTGTGTTCATCTTCATGGCCTTATGCATGTGAGGCAACTGAGCTACATCCCCAGCCCCCTTTTTTATATTTTATTAGAGACAGGGTCTTGCTGAGTTGCTTAGGGCCTTGCTAAATTGCTGAGGCTGGCTTTGAACTTGCAATCCTCCAGAGTCACTGGGATTACAAGCATGTGCCACTGTGCCCAGCTGAGGATGAACTTCTTATGATAAACTTTTTTTTCTGCTTATGTAGCTAAGTATATATTATATTGGTTTGAACTTCTATTAGAATTTATTAATTTTCCCCCTGTGACTGGCTCTGTAGTGATGTATATCAGGATGCCACTTTTAAAGTTATTATTTTTTTTGGATATTTTTTCTCTATTGTTAGTGAAATCTTTTTCTTTATGCATGTGGCAACTTGGTAATTTATTCCAAGATACTATAATTAGGTGTCTATTTGTACTGCCTGTATAGACAATTACTCAAATTTATATCTTGGCTTACTTTTTCCCATTGTCCTTAATATGGAAGTATGGTACTGGTGTTTGTGTTTTACAGTGTAATCTATAAAGTGTGGGGCCCTCAGTTTCTAATACATTTGTGGAGTCCTGTCACGTTCTATACATAGCATCCGAGTACAATTACTAAAACTAATTGTGACAGTTTTTATCTATATATTTTTGCTTATTTACAATATGAGTAAAATGTTTCTCTCTACAAAGCTACTTTAAAATTATATCTAATTCTTGGAGAAAAAGACTGTGTGTCCCTCCAAAATAAAAAAAACTGGGATTTATCTTTTATACATGTTTTATGTTTTATCTTCTGGAAAATACAATAGTACTTTGAATAGATGAAGAGAATAGAGAAAGATAAATGCAGTAGAGACAAGATAAAGTTTCTAGAATCAAAAATGGTATTAAGAGTTAAAAATGTTTTGGATAGAAGATGAAGGGACATGGAATGTCAAACAAATCTGAATTAAGATCTTCAAGTGTCAGATTAAAGAAGTACCCATGATGGAATTAAAGCAGTAATTAGAACAGGAAATCCTTCAACAGTTTATAGTTACCAACTAAGTACCAATTTAAATCACAAAAATTTAAATCTTTTCAAGTCTATCTTTGCAGAATGTTATATTATGTACATACATTGTCCCTCCAATCTCCACTGCCCTAGGTAAACTTATTTTCAGTCTACATTATTTTATACACAATAATAGGGCTCATCTCATTTTTCACTAAACCTTTTGTTGTAAATTCTACCCTATTCCTTCATTCATATCTTTGTTCATGTGGCTCCCTTTGACTAAAGTGCTCCTCCTTCTGTATATACCCCATTCATTTGCTTAATAAATATTTTTGGACTCACTATGTGTGGACCATGGTTCTGGGCCTTGAGATATAGGGATGAAAACACTAAGTCTACTGAGTTTGTCCTCTTGGTAGGAGGAGAGAAATAACAAGCAACTTAATTGCAGAGAATAGGTTTTGTTGTTAAACAAAAATAGGATACTGTGACAGATGGCTGGTTGGGTGCTACTTTAGAGAGGACTTCCCTAAAGATGCCACAGATGAACTGGGACTTGAATGATATAAAGCCCGAGAGGAACCCTCAGAAAGGCTTTGGGAAAGTTTTAGACATCTGCTAAATCCCTCCCTCCAAATCTCTGATAGTATATTTATATGCAGTGTATATATTTCTACTGCATCATTATTTCTGTGCATGCCTGAATATATGGAATATCTTGAATCAGAAAGCACTCACAAGCTGGGCATGATGGTACATGCCTCTAATCCGAGCAGCTCTGGAGGCTGAGATGGGATTGAGTGTTCAAAGCCAGTCTCAGCAACTTAGTGAGGCTCTAAGCAACTCATCAAGACCCTATCTCCAAACATTAAAAAAAAAAAAAAAAAGGCTGGGGATGTGGCTCAGTGATTAAATGGCCCTGGGTTCAATCCCTGGTAACAAAACAAAACAAAACAACAACCCACAAAAAATTCTCTAAACTTTCACATGGTATTTGCTGATTATATTTGTGGTATGTGTGGTACTGGCGATTGAATTTGTATGCTATGCCACTGAGCTACATCCTGGCTTTTAAAAAAAATTTTGAGATAGGGACTCACTAAAAGTTGTTGAAGCTGACCTTTTCCTCCTGAACACCTGTAGGCATGCTGCTGATTAGACCTTTAACAGCAAAATAAATAACTGAATGATTAATGTTAAAGTAATCAATTCTGGGAAGTAGTACTGAGGAGAGAGAGGTAATTTTACTATACTAAAGTATTTGAATTTTTAAAAAGCAGGTATTTTGGGGGGCTGGGGATATAGTTCAGTTGATAGAGTGCTTTCCTTGCATGCACAAGGCCCTGGGTTCAATCCCCAGCACCACACACACACACCAAAAACAACAACAACAACAAAAAAAACAGGTATTTTTTAATTACAAAGGCAAATAGCAACAAGTAATTTGTCATGGGCTAGACAGCTTTCAAACCATTGCATGTTAAGTAACTTCAGAGGGTCTCATTCCTTAAGAGAAAATAGCTCCTCAGGTTAATGCAGTTCACACAAAGTATAAAGTCATTTACTCATTAACCAACAGATTTGCCAATTAATTTACCTTATTATTTCAGAAGGCAAGGATTTTGGCTTTCTAAAAACCACTTTGAATTGAATTGCTATCCTTTGGGGGGCAGGGTTGGTGCTGGGGACTGAACCAGGAGCCTCATGCCTACTAGGCAAGTGCTTTACCATTGAGCTACATCTCTAGCCCAAATTGCTATGCTTTTGATCACATATTTTTCAAGCACAAAGCATGTCAAACACTCCAAAAAAATTATAGGTTAAATTTTTAAAAATTATACTTGAAAATGCTGAACATTAAACATCATTAAATTTACAAGCATATAGCTGACAAAAATGTAAGGATATTCCTCAGTAATGCATTCTACAAAGAAATGCTAATAGAAGGTTAGTTTTAGCAACAAGGTTAGCCACAATGTATTAGTTTTTTTCCTTAGTCATCTGCTAGCCAAGTATACAGTATTAAAATTTAATCCATCATATGTGTTCTTTCGAGTTTTAAAACATTGTGAGAGGCAATAACCAAGTTAGAAGTGTGTAATTAGTAGGCAACTGGTACTACTTCTACTAACCTGAATCTTTTGAGGTGTAGTCTGAGAACCTGAGGTAGGTGGCATATCATAAGCTGTTTTTGGGCTTCTGTGAGTACAACTGGTTTTGAGGAAAATCTTCTACGCTTTGCTATATCAAAGAAAGAATGAAAATCAAATTAAAGATACAAGGAAAATTTGCATAAATCCTTTTTACTTAACTCAGACATGAACTAATTGAACACTTACTGTGCTACAGCTGTTGTACTGTGCTAGTGATAAAAACATGGAACTTATGATCCACAGTTTAAAAAATGAAACAAGCTAGACAAGTTAGAAATAAGCACATGATTTCATAAAAATTATGCAAATGAAAGAATGAAGTATACTGCCACATATTTAAAAGTGGCCAATTAGTAGGAAAAATCTAAAATTTTCCTTCTAAAAATTTTAATACACATTTCCCAAACTGTTAAAAAATGTGCGGTCACTTGTTTACTGAGGCTAATCAGGACCCCGGGGGGACAGGGTCCTTACTGTCCAGAACACCCCTCCACCCTTCCTGGGGGTCTACCCCAGTCCTGGCTGTTGGCCTCAGAAAGTGGACCTCTTCCAGCAGAGCATTCAAGGGTTCCCTCACTCAAGGTATCTTATTTTTGCTCTTTTAGCATCAGATCTTAGACAAATAGAATTTGAGATTATTTTTGTTGTCCCTTCCACTTCTCTAGTGTTCTTTTTAGGGATTGGTTGTGTCCTGGCTTTCTGGTGGGCCATTGCCTAGCAAAGTTTGCTCTTGATGTCCAGGACTTTTCCAACTTGAACATTAACTCTGACTCCAGACATGGCAGCAGCTGCTTCTCATGTAGGAGGCAGAATCAGTCCACCATAAAGCTGTGTTCTAGCTGTCTCTTCTGACCACCAGAAATCTTTCTGCCATGTTGATAAGCACCCAAAGATCCAGGTACCTGGCTACTGATGAATATCCTATTCCTACATCTTGATTTTTCTCCTACAACCTTATGGTCCACAAGTAGCTATACAAAGGATGCCAACTCCTTGACTCATATATATATATATATGAGTCATATATATATATGTATATATATATATATATATATTTTTTTTTTTACTGGTGATTGAACCCAGGGGTGCTTAACCACTGAGTCATATCCCCAGGCCCCTCCCCCCTTTTAAAAAATTATTATTATTGAGACAGGTTCTTGTTAAATTACTTAGGGCCTCATTAAGTTGCTGACACTGGCCTTGAATTTACTATCTTTCTGCCTCAGCCTCCTGAGTCTCTGGGATTACAGGTATGCACTATCTCACCTAGCTGACTCAATACTTTCAACCTCTGCCTTTGTGTATTCAAGCAGCTCTTCTAGGCCACTATGCGGTAGCCCCAGTAGATATATGCGAACTCAGTATAAAACTATAAATATCAGTCTACCCCAAATTTGGTAATGAAAGCATCTGGGACTGTTAACACTTATGTGCAAGAAAATACACACTTCATCATAACAAAATTGACAAAGGTGTAGTCAATTTTTTCTAAAACCTTATACATTTTTTTTCTAAAACCTTATACATCTTAGACTACTTCAGAATAGAACTCGTATTAGTACGCAGAAAAACATGAATTAAAGTCATTTTAGAAAACTATCAATTAATGTGATCTTATCACATTAATTGATAAGATCAACGCTGAAACTTAAAATCTTTTCCATTAAAAGTTTATCATCGGGGCTTGGGACATACTTATGGGTAGAGTGCTTGTCTATCATGTGCATAGGACCTGGATTCTATCCCCAGCACTGCAAAGAAAAAAAGATTAGATTCTAGAATCTTTTTCTGAGACATGGAAATTAGGAATAATATCTGAAAGTGTATAATAAACACTAAAATACCACGTATATGTTGACATGTATGTATTGATGTGGTTTTAGATAGTATTTTCTTGGAATAGATGCTTCTGTTTGAGACAGCTAGTTCATCATCATCATCATCTTTTTTTTTTTTTTAATATATATTTTTTTATTTGTAGTTGGACACAATACCTTTATTTTATTTATTTATTTTTATGTGGAGCTGAGGATTGAACCCAGCAACCCCTCCGGTGCTAAGTGAGCATTCAATAGCCACATCCCCAGCCCTAGCTAGTTTATCTTCTAATGTGGGGTTCTTGTGTGCTCCTGAGAGTTATCATATTGGAATTATTATTATTTTTGCAGTGCTATTGATTGAACCCACACATGGTAGGTAACCATTCTACCACTAAGCTACATGTCTACCCTGTTTAAAATTTTTTATATAGGGTCTTGCTAAGTAGCCCAGGCTGGTCTTTGAACCCATGATACTCCCAAGCTGCTGGGATTACTGGGGTATGTCACTGCACCTGGTTCTTAATGGATGTTAATTGTCCGTTTCCTCCACTAGGAATATTGAGCACTGGTTAACTCTATATCCACAACAGTTACAACAATGAATACAAAAGAGTCAGTAGATGGTTCTGAATCTGTTTTTATGAAGCCAACTGACATAGTAATAATTCAGCTACATATTATTTTCTAATAAATATGTAAATACATAATCTACATAACAATGTTTTGATATGTAGCAAAACTGTCATAAAGCAAATTTCATTCACGTGGTATGCTTTCCTTTGCCACTTTATTCTACTCTACATGTCAAATTTAAATTTCTTATTGTATGAATTTCTTCTCTCAACTGACTATAGGATAAAAAATTGTTTAATGTCATCAATAAGGCAAAATAGTTCATAAATGCCAACTATACTGTAGAGATGTCTAGTCTAATTTCTTCTGATGAACTAAAAACATGAATTTTCACTTAAGGAATTTCTTCTAGCTTCTTCTCACTTGTGTTAATCTTAGAAAAGCAGAAAATATTCTGTACTCACAGTTACACTGTTCACATACGTAGATTTTTCCTTCTAAAACTTCAGTTTCTGTAAATTTGGCCAACATTTCAGTAACCAGACATGGCTGGGAAGCAATATCTTTTCCACTGAATTGGTATCTTTCTGGAAATTCTAGTGACAAATCCCAGAAAGGTTCTATAGTATTTGATTTGTTGTCACATGCAAGACATGTAACCTGTAAATACAAATATTAGTTACTCAGATTACAATTCTGTTGAAACACCAATTCCTTTCACTTAGAGGTCATTGACAATTCATAAGTATTTCTTCTAAAATGCACCATTAAAATGCTGAATTACTGGCTTTATATTCTTGTTAGAAAAAATTCTAATTTTTCTTTCCAAAAGATTATCATTAAACCCATTATGAACTAGTGTGCTTCAACTATGAGGCCTTCAAAAAGCCCCAATGCAAGTCAAATCTAGAACTTACGCAAAAGTTCTAACTATAAGCTCATTTGATAGGCATACATTGTGTCTGTGTACACATATCGTGTGTATATATATACACATCACAAATATATTTATATGCACTTAATTTAACATATTTTATGTTATTAGGCACCAGGTCCTTTGCCCTTTTTCCTTCATCTTCTACTGATTGTCTTTATCACCCCAAATCCTATAACCTCTAAACCCAACCCATCTTTTATGGGGGGCAGGGTGCTTGCTGGGGATCGAACTCAGGTCATCTCACATGGCATATACTCCAGAACTGAGTTATACTCCTAGCACGTCAATTCACCATCTTAAACACAGTACAAGTAAAACACTATTGGTAAATTTCATTATGCAGATTTTGAAGCCCTACCAACTAGTAATTTCAAAAGAATACATATAAATAATAATATCATATTTTCACGTAAGTTACATATAATCCCTATCCAAATATAAAAAACCTAGAAAGGGTTGGGGATGATGTAGGCCAGTGATAAAGCTTTTGCCTAGCATGCACCAAGAAGGCCCTGGGTTCAATCCCCAGCATGAAAAAAACAAAAACAAAAAAAACAAAACCACAAAAAAAGTATTCTAACAACTTATATAGCAACACAGTAAATGGAAGGGAAGGAAAAAAAAAGTAACTTCACTGAAACATACAACAGGATTTAATGCCACCAATCCTGCACATAATTGAAGACAGACTAAGGGCTAACAATTAACAAATATCACAAAGGAACTCTTTCATATAAGCTACATTCCTGGCATGGGCAACAAAAAGAAGAAGCCAGTTCTACTACAGGTTTTAGATATAACAAACTGACACAAAGAACACTCTTGGTGTTTAGTCTGGGGACTCATTAGCACCAGGCCTAACCTTTTGAGAAGTTTCTTGAATAAAAAGAAAAGAAATAAAAGCCATCCCAGCAACTGTTGGAATCTCCTGTGAACCAGTTTTCTGAGTTTACTACACGTTTAAAAGGAAAAGGGGCTTGAGGTGTAGATTAGTGGTATAGCATGGGCTTAGCATGTGTAAGGCCCTGGGTTCAATCCCCAGCAATTGTCCTTGCTCCCAATATGGGTTAAGAGAAGCAAAGTTTGTGTAACAATTTTCATTAATTTCAAAGTTCATTTATAAAGGAAAAAGAGGGGGAAAACAGACATTCTCACACTCCTGGAAATATAAAATGGTAAAAATCTTTCTGAAAAAAAAGTTTTCAATAAGTATCAAAAGTCCTAACTTTTGATAAAGTACTTCTATTTCTAGGACTCTGTCATAAAGAGATCATCAGAAAAACTACATTAATTTATCATGATACTATAATAATGACAAAATCTGAAAGTCAAGTAGGGATTAAAGTTAGGGTACAAACAAACATATAATAGACACTAAAATGTTTTGAAAAGAATGATCAATTCATGTGTGTGAGGGAGGGAATACTTGGAATTTAACCCAGGGGTGCTGCTTTACACTGAGCTACTACATCTCTAGTCCTTTTTAAAATTTTTAAAATTTTAAGACAGGGTCTTGCTAAGTTGCCTTAGCTGGCCTTAAACTTGGCTATCCTTTAGCCGCAGCCTCCCAAGCAGCTAAAAACAATGATCAAATATTTTTAATGACTATGGAAAAGCCTTACAATATTAATTTAATATTAATACTAAATTAAAGTCAATTACGGTACAAAATATGTGCAGGAAAAAAGATTAGAAGGAATTATGTCAAAATATTAAGTTTTACCAATTATGCCGTTATAGGACAAGGAAGGGAATGTTTTTTCTGCTATATAATTCCTGTATTATACAGATTTTCTACAACTATATTTTGCACTTACAGTATATTTTAAAGCTTTTGCATAGAAAAGATAAACATGACTAGCCAGGCGCAGTGGTACATGCCTTAACGTCAGCAGCTTGTGAGGCGGAGGCAAGAGGATCACAAGTTCAAAACCAGCCTCAGTGACTTAATAGAACCTCTCTCAAAATAAAATATAAAAAGGGGCTGGGGACATGACTCAGTGGTTAAGCAATCCTGGGTTCAATCCCTGGTACAAAAAAAAAAAAAAAAGACTGATAAAAAAAGTTAACCCTTATTTGCTAATTGGTATAATGTTGAATCTTTATATTTCTGAAACATTAAACTGAAACTTCAGTTATTCCTTATAAGAACTGCATCTGAACTATTTAAAGAAACATTCTAGAAAAGTGTTCTATAAAAACAAAAGGAAGGGGGCTGGGGATATAGCTCAGGTGGTAGAGTGCTTGCCTCACATGCACAAGGCCCTGGGTTCAATTCCCAGCACCATAAAAGATAAACAAAACAAAACAAACAAAAAACCCCCAAAAGGTGGTATCATAATGGAAAGTTGAACTGAAAAATACAGCTAGGTGTACAGGGGGAAGAAGATGACTTAAAGGCCTAATTATTTCAGTTAAAATAAAAGCAAAGCTGTGTGCTATAGAGAAGAAGAGAGTCCACTTCTAGTAACAGTTCATTCATTATAGAGAGCCTTCAATTAGAATCTGAGTTTGTAACTGAAACATTTTACAAAAGAGGAAACTGTTATAGCAGTAACTAAAATAGAGGAAAACCATTTAGGATTATTACTCTAGATAAAATTACATTTGTCTATCTTAAAATTTTCCTACCTACTTGTAAAAGTCTCTGACCCTCTGGCTTTACAGAAAGTACTCCAAGGATCCCTGAACTTGCTCAAGTATTAGCTGGGCAGGGTAGCACACACCTGTAATCTCATGACTTGGGAGGCTGAGGCAGGAAGATCACAAATTTGAGGCCATCCTCAGTAACTTAGTGAGACCCTGTCTCAAAAATAAAACAGGGCTGGGGCGTAGCTCAGTGATAGAGCACACCTGGGTTAAGTCTCCATTGCCACATACACTCCCCCACCCCCACCCCCCAAAAAGAAAGAAAGAAAAAGAAATTGCTTAAGTGTACACCACTCATATTACAGAACATTAGCATCTTTAATCCCCTGGAATGAATGTATTATTATTTACCTAGAAAGTTCTGTTTCCTAATTTCCCCCTCCCCTCAAAAAGCTTCTCATTCCATGAACACATAACTATTTTCCAACGATACATGAAGGAAAAAACTGTAAAATGACTTCTTTATACACACTTATAAAATCAATCCATTTTGACCTGAAGTGGAACAAGCTCAACCTTGATGCATACAGAATGTGCATTTCTGGTACTTTACGAATTCAAGATGAAAATAAGATTTTAAAAAATCCATACCTGACTAAGAAGTTGTCCATGAAAAATATTATTTACAACATTTAGAACCTGTTTGATAAGTTTCCTTTGGGAAGTGGGGATGAGAGCTGGTAACCTGGTACCAGTTGTCTCTAGTTCATGTTGTATTTTATCCAAAAGTTCACAAAGAAATTCCTGAGCATCTTGTTGGGCATAACCACGAAAAGCAGGAATTACCCTCCACACTGAGTGAAGCATAGCAAATGGTGAGACCAGTGCCCACTTTCCAGACCACATGACTTGAAACAAAGTATGCAATTCATGACAAAGAGAAATGTACTGTGAACTCGGCTCCCTTGGCTGAATAAGTTCCATATTTCTACTTTTTGATGCCCCACCACTTAGTCCTGATGATAAACTTGGATGTCTGGAGCAAACCAAGCCTGTATCTTTTTCTTGGCATTCATTCATTTGATATACTACTGTATCTGTTATGGGTGGATGCTTATAAGATCTTGTCTTATCACTAGCCGTCACAGTCAGCCATTGGTTCAGATCAAGTTTTAAAAAACACTGTCGAAAAATAAGTAAATGACTCAATACCTGAAGAACAGAATTCATATAGCAAGTATTTCCCAAATTTCTCAATCCTGTTACACCAGGAGTTCCTATTGGTCTTCGTTTGACTGGAGAGTCACTGCCTTTTTTAAATCTCACATCTTCTGAGGTAGATATCACTTTATCTTTTGCTGGTGATAGTGGAGTTTGTGGTGGTACTTCAACAGGAACTATTTCAATGGTGGTGGACTGAACTAGACCTTGCAAACGTAAACTCTTTCTTGGAGGCATACTATCTAATTCTGCTTTCACTTGATACTCTAATTCCTGGTGTCTTTTTTTCACTTCTCTTTTTGCTATCTTTTCCTGAAATTGTTCTTGCCTTTTTTTCCCAATGGGTGATTGTTCAAACCAAGTTCGAAAGATTTTACCCATGAGCATTCTCCTTCTGTGCCAAAGGGCAGTACACATTTGATCTTCATTTTGAAGCAGAGATTGGGTGCCATCATGTAAGAAGAAAGAATTGTCACTTGTATCCACAGACCGTAAAACTCTTCCACTACGAGTTGTACTGTGATAATTTTGGCTTTTGATTGCACTTAAAGTACTTCGTAGTAACTTCAGGTCTCCAGTTGTATTATCATTAAGAACATAATCATCACAAAGATAACAAAAAACATACATCTCATTCACTTCCAGTGCAACAGGATGACTGCTTTCTTGAAAGTGCTTGAGTGCATGCTCTTCAATATATCGTCCACAGGCAACATGAGAACAGCTGAGGCAAGCCCAAATAGATTCAGTTGTATTGCAGTCCACACAATACCATTTCTGAGGGTTGAGGATGGAATGGTCTGGAGCAAGCTGCAACTGCCCAACGTGTTTGCACTTATCCATTGTTAGCATTTATTCAGTCTGTCTGAGAAACACATAATCCAAACGACTCTCTGTTCACAACACTTGAAGAACCTGAAAACTAAGCAGAACAATGTCAATTTTTAATAAAAGGCAAGTCAAAAATATTCCTTTTTTATAAGGTATATTCACAAGAATAGTATAAATCTGTTCTCTCTGCTTCTAATTTCTGAGCTGCTTGTCATAAGATCATATGTAATTTTCGCTCTCTCCTTACTCCTGGTTTCCCTAATCTCTCATTCACTTTGCTCTTAAAAAACACATACTTTGGGCCCGGTGCAGTAGTGCATGCCTATAATTCCACCAGCAGGAGGATCGCAAGTTCAAAGCCAGCTTCAGCAAGGGTGAGATGCTATAAGTAACTCAGTGAGACCTTGTCTCTATATAAAATACAAAATAGGGCTGGGGACGTGGCTCAGTGGTTGAGTTCAATCCCCAGCACCACCCCTGCCCCCCCCCCCCCAAAAAAAACCCAAATACTTTGGTATTGTATCTACAACTAAAAATATAAAAACAAAACAAAACACATACTTTACTTTCCCTTTAAAACTTTTGTGTTTAATTTTCTGCCACCATCTAGTGGTGAAAAATGGGTAGTGGCCACTTTTCACTAAATCCGAACAAGATCTATCCTTTTTACCCATTAGTTTGCTGGAAGTTCCTAAAACATTGCTCTTCTTAAACACTGGGGATGGCAAAACCCAAATATATCTCTCACTGATATTTACTAACATTCTAAGGCCCATGTGGAGTTACCAAAGCATAATCATAGTTAAAAGCATGTGTTGGAATTCTATTTGTGATTCATATTTTAAGAAAGTTTTTTAAAGTTCAAGAAGGTTTTAACTTTTCTAAACTTCATCTATTAAAAAAAAGAGAGAAATCATCCTAACTTCATTAAAACTGTTCAAGGATTGAGAGCGATAACAAACGTTTATTTGACTCATGATAAATGCTCCATAAATGGCAGCTACAGTGAATAAGTCAATATTCTATTTATTTAAATTAAATATTTGACTTAATTATATTAAACTTGTCTTTCCACTTAGTAAATCAATGATTACTTTTAATTAATGGCTGCATAACATACTCTTATTTGACAGACCTGACAATTTGCCTTCAGGAGAAAGAGAGTATGTTTTTATGTTTGAATATTCTCAGGAATGTAAAAATATGTGTAAACAAAGAGAAAAGAGAAAGAATATGAAGTGGATGGCAATATAATGAGCCATTAACATTTTAGCAAGACTAAGCATATCTGAAATTAGAAGCGTATTCCTTTTCTTTTTCTTTTTTAACAGTGCTGGGGATTGACTGACCTCATACCTGCTAGGCAAGGGCTCACCACTGACCTATATATTTCCCCAGCCCTTTTTTTTTTTAATTTTTATTTTTTGACAGGGTCTCGCTTAATGGCTGAGGCTGGCAATCTTCCTTCCTCAGTCTCTAGCGTAGCTGGGAGTACAGGTATGCACCACCAAGCCCTGTTCATAAACTTTTTGTTTTAAAGGCCTACATAATTTTTAATATACAACTTGCTCCTTTATAAGTTAAAGTCAGGAGCATTTCTGTTATAGATACCTTAAAATAATAAGAAAAAAATGTATTAGAAACTAGTGATAGGGTTAGGATTGTGGCTCAGTGGTAGAGCACTTGCTAGCATGTGTGAGACCCTGGATTCAATTTTCAGCACTGCATATAAATAAATAAAATAAAGGCTCATTGACAAATTAAAACAACAACAAAAAAAACCAAACTAGTGATTATGAGCCATTTTTTCATTGGTTTAACATAAATTGAAGCCAAATTTCAGGGTGCAGATGAGAACCTAGATAGAGAAAATTAACATCATATGTAACATGACCATGCTTTAAATTTTAAGGGCAATAAGATGACATGAATTTCAATGGTACTTTCAAGTGCCATCTCCAGAGCCCTATGAAAACTGCAAAGGTAAAGCTGATTTCTGGTCTCTCCTACTTCTCTTTGTAAAATCTCCTAGCTACCAGAGCCTCCTTTTAGATATCAGTCCTACTAAGCATGACTTAACTCATGCCAGTACCAATTTGCGCATGTGAACACATTTCAAATACCCATTTTAAATTAACTTCTCTCCCCTAAAAATTTCCTGAGTTCTAAAATCTGGTCATACATACTATTTTATTAGAACTCCTAGGATTCAATAATGGTTGCTAATGAGACATCAATGACTAACATACTCTGTTATCCTATATCCTTCCAGTAACTAAAGCAAAATACCTTACAGTCATACCTGATTTTCTCTTCACACCAATCCTTCAGGAAAAATGGTTCGCTCTACTTCCAAAATATATCTAGAATCTGCCAGGCACAGTGGTGCAAACCTATAATCCCAGTGGCTTGGGAGGCTGAGATAGGAGAATTGAGAGTTCAAAGCCAGCCTCAGCAACTGCAAGGCACTAAGCAACTCAGTGAGACACTGTCTCTAAATAAAATACAACACAAGGCTGGGGATGTGACTCAGTGGTTAAGTATCCCCGAGTTCAATCCCCGGTACTCGTCTCTTTTTCAACCAACCTGATCCAAGCCACAAACAAATCTTACCTGGACTATTGCAATGAGGCTCCTTAAATGGTCTCTTCAATTCTATCTTTACTGCCATGGAAGTTTACTAAACACACACAGCAGCAATCTGCTTCTAGACCCAGACAATCAGGGACCAAAAAGGAAATAAGGTCAGAAGACCCTTGCTCTGAACCTCTCCCACTTACACTTATGTGGAGTCGGCAGGGCCAAGAGGATGTTTGAGCCTTCACATACTCCAAACTGCCCTTCTAGACCCACTCCATGGTACCTGGGTCTTGGAGATTTGCTCCTAGGCTGTAAGGGCAATATAGAGCCACTGAAAAATTCTGTAGTGGAGAATTGACATGATCAGATTTGTAGGTTACAGAGAGATCTGAATGGCGAACAGGTCTGGAAGAGGGATGAAAGAATAAAGAGACTCTACAAATCCAGAAATTATAAAGAAATTAAAGCTGTAGCAGTTTTGAAAAAAGGAGCAGAGGTAGACTCAGTGCTTAAACATTGCATAAGGGAATTGATTCAATTTGGAAGTTAAAGGGAGAATTTAAGTTTCTCTTTCCATTCAAAATGTACTGAATTAAAAATGCAGAGAAAATTTATTTAAGCATTATGTTTCTGGCAAATCAAAGACAATAATTACTTCAAACATTTTCAGAGGAGAAAAGGAGAATGCTATTTATTTACATGCAAAGAAAATTATTTAAAAAATTTTTTTAAAGAGGTGGAATGAGTTAACACCGTATACACATTCAGAAAAGAATAGTGAGTAGAAAAACACCTAGAAAGAATATACATATTTCTTCTGGGGTTATTGCTGAGTAATGAGACAAAAAATTATCATATTTTCTCTTTATTAATCCAAATTTTCAAATTTCTAAAAAGAATCAACATGTTTGTTGTATGTTTTAAGTAAAAAAAAAACAGTTGAAAAAGATAGTGCTGTAAATAGAGGCTAAGTTATCCCTAGCCCCTTTATTCCCTTTTCTATTCTACAAATTTATTCCCTTAGTTACAAGAAAATTTATCTGTTTCACTGCAATTGTTACTAAAAAATATATTTGGATGATGGCAAGGTCCTTGACCTTCAACAGGAAATGGTATCTATAGTTGAACACATGAGTCTATTCAATGCAAGACTGTGAAAAAGAGTGATATCTTGGTGACATATCATTTCTTTGAGAAGTGCTGTAGTAGGGGAGAGGTATCTCAGCAAAATGGCTGAAGAACATGCTTTGAAATCCAAATGCTTAAGTTTAACCCTTGGATGCATTTACTACATGTTCTACATACCTTTTTTTAAATCTGTAAAATACTAGTAATAATACCAGTAGGTTGTTGAAGGAATATATATATCCATTAAAGATTTCTGACATTTAATAATATGGCCCTTAATACATTGTAGCTGCTAGTAATACTAATACTAATTCTAGTTTTGAGTTGATCATTTTCAGCTATGAGTCCACTCTCAGCCAAGTAAAATACTGACTGATAATCAAGATGTTAGCTAAGAACTAAGGTCTGACCTCTCCCACACGTATTTACATTTTAAAAGAGGGTCTCTCAAAAATCTTTTTAAGATCCAAAGATGTGAAACCAGAATGACAGATCATGAGATTATTATTTTAGAGGAGGGGGGCCCACTTATGCCCTCTATTTATAAAAGAAGCCAGTAGGTGGGTGAATGACTAGGGGAAAGGCAGGGAGCAAAGAGGTGCTAAACAGGTAGGCAGCTGCCCCCCAAAAATCTGTTTGCTTTCCTGCCTAGAGCCAATGTTCAGAGACAGTTAGGATGGATGATATCCCCAAAGAGGCCTCATCAAAGATTTAAAGCTTAGAGGAAAAGCAAGGAGGATGGTAGTATTAACTTGACACTTCCTATTTTTTCCTACTGGATCCAGAGCCCTTTCTTTTCATTTGTTAATTCACTGCTGGGAAGCTATTAACTCTGGCTCCAGCACATCAGATTTATGATTTTTTGGCAGTATATTCATTCTTTTAAAAAATATTTTTTTAGTTGTAGATGGACACAATATCTTTCTTTCTTTATGTGGTGCGGAGTTTCGAACCCAGTGCCTCAGGCATGCAAGGCAAGTGATCTACCACTGAGCTACAACCCCAGTCCCATGGTATATTCATTTTAAAGAGATATAATAAAAACATTTCTATATGCCGTATGCAGATTCTGACAAAATATTATTTGTACCTATACAAAAGCATCATACAGTTAAGATATTCTGAACAATCTCTATAGTAAGAATTAAAATTATCTGTATTATCTTTTCATGCATTTAAAAATGTTTCACCCTTGAAATTCAAAATAGTAGCTTTTTAAAACCATATATGCTGGGCTGGGGTTGTGGCTCAGTGGCAGCAGGCTTGTGTAGCATGTGTGAGACACTAGGTTCCATTCTTAGCACAGCATATAAATAAAGTAAAGGTCCACTGACAACTAAAAAACATATTTTTAAAAAAACCCATACATGCTAACTTTAAAGA